GCGACCTTTGACTCGACAAATACAGCTTGCTTAAGATTATTACATCATCGATATAGTAAGCTGCTCCCTTCACTTCCCTCAGCACCGCATCCATCACCCGCTGAAACACCGCTGAGGCGTTCCTCAATCCGAATGGCATGAAGTTCCATTCGTACAAGCCATCCGGACCGTGGAATGCCGTTTTCCTCTTGTCTTCTTCTGCTATCGGGATCTGGTTAAAGCCCTGCCTCAGGTCCAGTGTTGAGAACAGCCAGCTCCCGTGGAGCTGACTGAAGATCTCTTCTGCCATGGGCATGGGGTAACGGTCCGTGGCTGTAACCTTGTTGAGACCCCTGTAGTCCCCACACATCCTCCTGGGCAGTACAGCTCCAGTCAGACCTGTTCTAGCGGCTACTACGATGGCTGCTGCATAGTCAGATGCCGATCTGCGTATCAGTCCCGCCGCCAATAGCTCCTGGCATTTTGCCGCGCACACCTCAACGTCCTGTGGGCTCATCCTCCTCCGCCTCTGGTACACGAGCACCTCACTTGTCAGTGGTAGCTGCATGGTGCTTATCGTGCACTTCCCCAGCTCCTGTAGGCTATGCGCGAATACAGCTGCATGCTGCCGCAGGACCGCTTCCAGTCTAATCGCCGCCGTCCCCTTCAGGGGTGTGCCTATGTTCCATGTGTGCTCCCCTGCTGCTGTCGCCACCTCTGCTCGCACTCCTTCACCCGTTGCTGCTTGTGGCGCTTGCCCTTCATCCCTGTCTGCCGCTTCTGTTTCCTCTCCTCCGACCCCTTCTCCGCTTTCTGCTGTCTGCTCGTTCTCCCCTTCGCTGCTCAGCGCCATGTATGCTCTTCTTGGGCCCAGAAACACCTTGTCTGGGTCAGGAATCCAGTAGTCCGCTGGGTCTTCCCTTTTTTCACTGTCCCAGTCCATCTCTGGCTCTGCCCACTCTTCTGCACCTTCCTCCTCTTCTTCCTGGTCCGGGTATCTCCCTGGCACTCCATCTCTCTCAGCCCACCGTTCCATCCTCCTCTCCACCGGCACTCTTTTCTGCCTCTCCTCCCTAGCTTCTTGCTCCAACAGGTCTAAGAACAGCTCAGCTTCCCTCTGCTTCTTTTCATCTTCCTCCGTCTTCGGTTCTGCCTTCTCCGCATGATCCCGCCTCCTCTCTAACCGCTTCTTCTCCAGATGCCGATGCATGACTCCCACCAGCCAGTGCAATGCATTCAAGTCCGTTGCGTTGCCCAATGCCCTCTTCCTCTGCTGCTCCGTCACTTCGCCGCTCGCCGTTGCTCCTGCCATGAACCCCATCGCCAGTTCCCGTTCTAAAGCCATCGGCTCCTCCCAAGTCCCCTTCAAGCTGTCAAACACCATGCCCGGACCCTCCTTACCTCCTTCCATCTTAAACCCCCTTGCCTGGTCGTGGGCCACCAATGTGGGCCATGCCTGTCGAGGCTTGCCCACCACGTTGCACGGGAACTGCATCTCGTGGTCGGGGTATCTCACGGGCGCGGGTACTCTCACTGGTTCTAGAATGTCTTGGACCAAGCGAGCGCGTGGCCGCTCCATCATTGACAGCTCGTATTGCAGGGCCGCCTCAGGCATCACGTTCTGCCAATACCTGCGAGGCCTGTGCGCCCTACTGCCATTCTGTGCCGCATCCCATGCCACGCCTGCCCCCAGCTCTGCCCTGATTTCTTCTTCGGCCAGCTTTACCGCCTCCCTCATGTCATCTCTCGTATCCACGTTTTCAACTATGTAGGCCACCTCTCCTTGCTTCCACTTAATCATCTTCAGGATGCGAGTCAACTCTCTAAACAGCCCGCTGTCCTCCATCCCTCTCCCTTCTCCGGCCCGCGACAGCCCCTGACACTCCCAACCCGCGACTACCAGGTCTACATGCCCCCAGTGAGCCAGTGCATCTTCCTTCACGTCCTCCACTCGGTGACACACCCACTCCGCCCCCTTTTCCACGGCATCCGCGTACAGCTGCGACGGGTAGCGTTCTTCCAGCTTCTTGATGTGATGCCAAGCCATCCGGTCCACGGCTTCATCGTTCTCCACGTAGATGTACTTAGCCACCCTCAATCCTGCCTTCAACACTGCCGCCAGTCCGGTGCATATGCCCCCAAACAGCTCTAGCAGCACTATCGGCTTGCGGAACACCCCTCCGTCTAGATGCAACTCCTTCAACCGCCCGCTTTCGCCCCAGTACTGCCGGTGCCGGTCTCGGTGCCTCCGTTCTTCATCCAGCCTTTCCCAGCTGAGGATCCCCAGCTCCTCTTCCACTGTCTTAATCTCAGCCTGATATGCTTCTCTTGGTTCTTTACGGATGAATCTGACGGGCAGCTCCGCCACTGGCCTGTTCTTCTCCCAGTACACCACTCGGTACGTCAGCTTCTCCTCCCACATGCATATGGTGGCGCCTATGCTGTACAGGAACTCCACCCCAAGCAGCAGATCGTAGTCTTCCGAGGGTGAGATTCCGCATTGCAGCTTCACTGAGCACTCCTCTGGGCTCCCTTGCCGTATGTAAATTTCCACGGTGCTTTTAGTTTTCGGCATCCACTTAGTGCCTCCTCCCTCGGCAGTCATCAGTAGCAGTCCTTCCTCGATCTGGTGTTCTGGTCGGTCCAGCTGCAGCTGCTGAGCGAGCCTCCTGCCTATCAACACTGGGTGGGCCCCAGTGTCTATTATGGACTGCTTCACTGACACTCCCCCAACCGTTATGTATCCCTTCTCCGCTACCAGGACAGATGCTGCGCAGCTGAGCTTTTCCAGAGGGTGCCTGCGCGGAGGATGCAGGTCCTCCTCTTCTCCTTCCGCCCTCCTCCTCGGACCGGCTTCCTTTCTTGCTTCTGTCCGTGGCCTCAAATTCCTTTCCCGCGCCCTCAGCCCCAATTCCTCCCGGTCCCTTGTTGGCCATGCCATCAGGCAGAACTCCTCCTCGCTACTCTCCTCTTCCTCTTGACGCGCCACCATGGCCGGTTTCCTTTCGCCTCCTGCCTCTCGTCCTTCTAACTGCGCCCTCAGCCTCTCAATTTCTGCTCTCATCTCTGCCACCTCGCTCCTTTCGCGTCCTTCTCCCCGTCCTTCTCCCTTGCGCGAGTAGCAGTCTCTCTCCGCATGTCCCCTTCGCCCACACTTCCCACACACCGGCGCCTCCGGGCAGTCACGCCTCTGATGTTCCTCCTGTCCGCAGATGGAGCACGCTGGCGGGTTTCTGCACTCCCGCCTCAAGTGCCCCGTCTGCCCACAATTGTGGCATTTGCGTGTGTCTCCTGGGCCTCTCAGCGGTCGCTCCCTGTCCACTAGAGCCGCGCTCCAAGCTGGCCTCCTGCGATCTGCCGCCCGTTCCGCTATGCGCTCCACCTCGAATAGCCGCCTCCCCATCTCCACGCATTTCGCCGTCTCGTAGGCCACGCCTAACGTGGTCGCCGCTCCCATTTCGAAAATCTTCACTTGCACGTCGCGCTGTAGTTCGTAATTCAGCCCGTTCAGGAACTTGCTCACGAGCCGCCCCTGATCCACACAATTCATATCTTCGGCCAATTCCACCAGCCGGCCGTAGTACGCGAGCAGCGATTCCCCCGATCTGCGCTTGAACTCCCGAAATTCAATCACCCACTCTGGTGTCTGCAGCGGAAATTGCTCCCGCATCTCCAGGAAGCGCTTAGTGGGATCCCTTTTCCCCGGTCGAGCTTGAGCCGCCCAATCCAGCAGCTCGCGCCAGCATATGCGGTAGTACGTTTCAGCTTCCCCAGTCAAAGTGTTCGCCAGTCCTCTGAAGAACTCATCCGCATCTAGCCGATCACGTTCCCACCTCGCTCGCAGATTCTCCAACTGCATCAGGTAGTTCTTCAACGACGGTCCACGTCGGACTTCTCCCGAAAAGCGTAACGGCACCTCCACCTTCGGAAGCATGGTGTAGCGCCAGCGCGTCGACGCCGCATCATCTTCGAAACCTTGCCATGACGCGCTCCGCCGATACGGCTTGCCACTTTCTCCACCCGCTGGTACTACCACCACGGCCTCTCCGAGGGGCGTCCCTGCCGATTTCCCCTTAGCTCCTTCCTTGTCAGCAAGAGGCTGATCGTTTCGTCCTTCTCCTGAGCCCGTGGCTCCGTCCGTTCCCTTCTCACCTTTTCCGTCGGCGCCGGGCGCGTTCGTCCCCGTTCCTGGCGCACGCTCATTCCCTTCTACACCCTCGGTCATCTTGCCCCCTTTACTATGATCCTTTGCGGCGAACTCTAATCCGGACCGTGTGGGCATAACCCTGAATGCTTGTATGTGATAAGCTCTGGCTCCCTCACATAACACTCCTATCTACCTTCTTGTCGCATCGCTGCTTGTAATATCTCCTTCTTCTCACTACTTGCTCGGCGGAATGCAAGAAATCGTGTTTACAAAGGAAACATACAAGCATTAAGGCTAGCTCTGTCAGGTTCCGCCTATTCTACCAGCTCTGCCTCCACCGTGCCTACTCCACCTCCACCCATCTCCTCTCTAGCTGCTAAGGCTGCCTTCGAGAAGACATACATCCTTGCTGCCTACCACCTGTGTTACCCGCCTCTAGCTACTTCGCCTCCAGCTGACACTTCCAGATCCAGCTGGCTCCTGAGAGCTTGCCTGCACACATGGGGAAACAAACAAGCATGCATGCTTCCACCCATCCAAGTGCCGGTGGTGAACCCCTGCCTCCGCTGCCTCTGCCATACACTATAATTCCGCCCTGTACTCTCCCTCCTCTTACGTAAGTGCCACCCCTTACCACTCCCATGCATTCCCCGACCCTTCGCTTCGGCAGACATTACTTCCCTCGCACCCACTTGCCTCCCTGCACACCTCAAACCCCACCTTGACCCTTCGCATCCCATCCTTGGCACTGCCCAGCTCGCTATGTACAGTATATACAGTTTATACACCTCCCAATCTCTCCTCACTATCCTGCTCACATTCACACAAATGTGACATGCTGTACGACCTGATTCTACAATCGGTCAACAACGACATGTTCCAGCACATCAAGGATTTGGTGGAGCTCGATGACTCGGGACCGAAGGCGTGGAAGCTACTACGCGACGTGGTTCAACCCAACACGCTGCCGATGGTGATTGTGTTGGAGAAGGAGCTAGCTGCCGTCTCCATGCGATCGGGAGACGATGTGAAGCCGGTCCTTGACAAAATCAAGGACACCTATGCGAGGATGGCAGCGGTGGGCAGCAAGGTGTCGGAGATGCAGCAGTGCACCAAGATCATCTCGGTGCTCGACAACTCATGGGACAACCTCATCCCCACCCTCAACGTTCAGCAGGACAAGTGGACACCTGAGTGGCTACGGCAGCAGATCCTGCAGAAGGACTTCCGCAGGCGCCACACGGGAGGTGGTGCTGCCAACAAAACTGCAGAGGGGTATGGAGCTGCAAGAGGCAGCAGAGGAAGAGGGGGATGGAGAGGCCGAGGCCGTGGGAGAGGCTTTGGCAGAGGGAAAGGCCGAGGTGACTACAACGAAGGGCATGGGAGCTCTGGTGGCAAGGGGAGCACTCGAATGGAGGGTGCGTGCTGGTACTGCAAGAAGGCTGGACATCCGTGGTTCAAATGTTTCAGCCGGCCTGAGGGATGGGCACCTCCAGGCATGAAGCCGCCAAGTAATGAACGCGCGCGAGGTGGCGCTGTGCAAGGTTCAGGTGCACAAGGTGATGGTGCACAAGGTAAAGCCGACCCTGGGATGTTCCTCATGGTTGAGGATGTGCAAGGGAGTGGGGGTGATGTGGGTTCAGTTGGGAAGGTTGTGATGCACCCCCTCACTCACTGGGTAATCGATTCAGGTTGCACAAGTCACATGACCTCACGGGCAGATTTGCTTGACGAGGTGAAACCCCCTGGGAAGATCAAGTTTGTGGCTGCCACTTCAGGTGCTTTGCTCCCTGTGATTGGTGTGGGGAATGCCAAGGTAATGGGAGCTAATGGGGGGCTTGTGGGGCTGGGGAATGTGCTGCTGGTTGAAGGTTTGTCCGCTAACCTCCTCTCTGTGCGCCGGCTGCAGAAAAGCAAGGCCAAAGTGACTTTCGGCACAACCAGCTGCCGTGCAAAGCTTGGGAAGTTGCTGCTGTGGGACTTGGAGGAGAAGAGCAGCTGCATCAAGGACCTCTGGCAGCTGCCCATCATTCCTTGGAATGGGAAACCACCAGCAACGGCAGCGGCAGCGGCAACGACTAAAACAACTGCGGGAGGAGAGGAGATTGCACCAATTGGTGGGGCCCTGGATGCAGTCAAGAAGGTGCAGCAGTCACAGCAGCCACATGGTGAGGTGCTTGCTGGTGTGGATGCAACGGCTGCATGGGCAAAGGCTTCATCTGGGAATGGTGATGCTGATTGGGAGACGTGGCACGAGAGGTTGTGTCACATCAACATTCCTATGCTGCAGAAGTTAGTGAAGGATGGGAGCTTGAAGGGGTTGGAGGTGAAGGGGGCATCAAAGGGGATTGGGAGCTGCCCTTCATGCCTTGAGACCAAGTTCACGAAGTTTCCCTTCAGCAGCAGCACGGGACCAGCGAAGGCTCCACTTGCACTTGTGCACATGGACGTGGTGGGCCCCACGAGGGCCCCTTCTCTCTCGGGCAGCCGCTACTTCTTGACCATTGTGGACGACCACACGCGTGCGGTGTGGGTGTAACCTCTGAAGACTAAGGGGGAGGTGGCAGCGACTGTTCTCAAGGAGTGGATGCCGAGAGCTCAAAGGGAGAGCGGACACAAGGTTAAGGTGATCCGCACAGACAATGGGGGAGAGTTCATTGGTGCTGATTTTGAGGCGGTGCTGAAGAAGAAGGGGATCCAGCATAAGCTCACAGTTCCCTACAACCCTCAGCAGAACGGCGTGGCTGAGCGGTTCAACCGGACCCTGCAGGAAGGTGCTCGCACTCTTCTTGGGCGTGCAGGGCTGCCGGATCCGTTTTGGGTGACTGCACTGCGGCAGGTCGCCCTTGTGAAGAACAGGGTGCTGGCGATTGTGGGGGACAAGCAGTGGGTCCCCTACACCAAGTGGTATGGGAGTGCACCAGCAGTCAACATGCTGAGAGCCTTCGGCTGCATGGTGGTGTTTCATGTGCCTAAAGAGAAGAGGGGAAAACTGGAAGCTTCTGGGAGATGGGGTGTGCACTTGGGGCTTGCCAAGGATCACAAGGGCTGGTTGATATGGGACTTGACCAGCCAGCAGCTAACTATGTCAAGGGATGTGAACTTCCTTGAGTCCTTGTACTATAAGGAGTGGAAGCAGCAGCAGCAGAAGCTTCCTACTACACCGCTGATCATTGAGGCTGATGGGGTGCAGCGGCCTTCGAGGCAAGTGCAGGTCACTGTCTGAGAGGAGGAGATTTATGGGGTGACTGAGGATGGAGGAGAACCTGAGGTGGAGGAGCAGCAGCACCAGCAGCCGCAGCAGCAGCAGCAAGGTGCTCCACAAGGTGCCGCACGTCCGGCTAACCGTCCTAGGAGGGATGTGCGCCCTCCTAACAGGCTGACCTATCTGAGTCGAGGCACACCAAGTGTGGTACCGGCTGGGAGTGTGACTGAGAAGTGTAATGAGGATGAGATAGCGTATTGCTATAGAGCTGCAATGAGATGGTTTGGTGGATAGTGTTTTGAAACAGAGGCGGCAGAGGGTGCTGCAGATTTGAGCAAAGAGGAGATGTTGGAAGTGGGATGTTGGAAGGAGATGATTGTCCATTGGGATGAGTGTTGGAAGAACACTGGAAGCGAATCAAACTTGCTGGAATGAGTGTGCATTGAGGGTGCATGCTTGAGCTATGGCATGTGGGATGATGGTTGGCAGCCAGAGGGGGAGTTTGTTATGTGATGCTATCATTTACATTCACGTCTGTCTGCCTCCCATCATATGTTCGTGCGTTGCATGCGTGGTGTGAGCGTATGCAAGAATTTGTGTTTTGTGCAGTTTGGTTTTTCTGAGTGTGTGTTGTGAAAATAGTAGGTAGAGTTAGGAGCCATAGCTAGGTAAGTCCTAGCTAGGCAAGAGAAGTTTAGGCAAAAGAAGAAGGGGGGGTTCACTAGAAAGCAGCAGGATACATATAGGAAACCCTAAGGGGTTGTACTCGCTATAGAGTACCCCACTGCAGGCTAGAGAACAATGACATTCTGACATGTGTGAATGTTATTTGGCTTGAGCAGATATCTGAAGTGACTCCTCTGCTCAAGAGCTTTCCGACGAACCAAGTATCGCTTCAATCGGAGCACGAACAAGAAAGTTACGAACGTTGGAAGTTCGTATGCTTTTGATATTTGGTTGTGGTGACTATGGGAAGTTGTGGTGTTGACTCCATAAGGGGTATAGACTTTTGGGGGTTGGGAAATTCGTCAACATCACTGTAGATGCTGCCAAGTGGTTGGGAGGTGCCAAACCAGGTGGGCAAGTGTGGCCAAGTTGGGCAAGGTGGATGGCACGGGTTGGAAAGTGACAAAAGTAAAAGTGGGGTTCCTATAGGGAAGGGATTTGGTGTGCTTATGGGGTTTCCTTGGTTGGGGACTCCTTGGGGACCTTCCCTCTCGTCCTCCTCTTCCCCTCCCACCTGGTGAATTGCTACTCTAACTTTCTTGTGTGAAATTGTGAGACTCTTGTGATTGGGTTAAGTTCTTATGGCAGCATACCCCCCTGTGCGCCAAGATTGATAACTCGAAATATACTTCACCTTTTCGTACGATTCAACTTGGGAATTGTAGCCACGGAAGTTTTGACGGTGCGTTTTTCGTCGACGGCGTTTCTTGTGAGCGCGACGATTCTGTCCAGAAATTGAGACCAACGATTTTGAGATATTTAGGCCCATAATCTTCATAGACTCCGTCCTTAGTCTCTAACAGAAATACCTAGTGACAACATCAGGCGTGGGGCTGGTTCTTGGAGGGCAGTAGTCTGTTGTACTTACTGGACACTGTGACTCTTCTTACGCTGACGACGCCGAGACTCACATGTCTACTCAGGGGTACTGTTTCAGCCTGGGCTCTGGAACTGTTTCGTGGAGGTCCACGCGTTCCTCCTCGGTCTCGACCTCCACTGCTGAGGCCGAGATCTACGCAGGAGCCATGGCTGCACAGGAGCTGCGTTGGTTGACCTTGCTCACCGACCTTGGTGAGCGGCCGAGCTCTGCACCGACCTTGTTCACTGACAACAAGGCGTCGATTCTCCTCTGTCGAGAGCCGCGGCTGGAGAGCAGAGTGAAGCACATCAAGGTCAGGTACTTTCTTCTGCGAGAGTTGCAGCATCGTGGACAGGCTCGCTTCGACTTTGTGGAGTCCGAGGCCAACACTGCAGACATCTTCTCCAAGGCGCTTCCGCCTTGTGACCACCAGAGGTGTTGTGTGCAGTTAGGTCTCGTTGACACAGGTTCTCACCTTGCATAGTCTTGAGTTCTCAGCTTGCTTTGTTTGTACGTTTTCGTATATACCTCTGTGAACTCTTGAACTGGCCTTGTGGCTCTTTTGCTTGTGCTCGGAATGTGTGGTGACGTTGTGATCCACCCTGAGCTTTGTTTCTCTGTGACTGGTCTTGTGACCGTACACTTTTGGTTTTGCGTGACACCCCTCACTTAGACTATGGGGGTGTGTCAAATGTTGTAGTCTTAGTGATGTGTGTTATAGGGGGTACAACTGTTAGGGTTAGGTTTATGTACCCCAACCAACCTTAGTCAAACCAACACTTTCATTCTTGACACACTGGCCCAGTAGCCTAGAGGAGAGAGGCCAAATCCTCATGGGGGGAGGAGAGGTCAAGCGAAACGCACGAGTAGAGGGTGAGGAGCTGCAAGGGCCAAGCCGAAAGGGGGTCAGAAAGGAGGGGTCTGTTTTTATTCTTAGGATACTCATAAGAAAAATTGGGCAAGTGGCCGCGAGAGGCCAAGGTGACTCTTGTTTTGAGTTGACTCAAAAGTCACCTCCAAGGAGAGAGCAAGCTGCAAGGGCCCTCAGACGATAAGATGAATCTATTTTATTTTTATTTTTGTTTTTTGTTTGTTGGATCCTCGAGCATAAACGGGCATGCGGCAAGGCGAGGTCAACAGGGTCGAGTTTGAGGAGTGGGCGAGCTGCAAAGGCCAAGAGTACAGAGAGAGCTTCAAGGACAACGAAGAAAGGCAGAAAGGAGTGAAAATTGATATAGGGGCTCCTCAACACAAATGGGCATGCGGCGAGGCGAGGTCAACAGGGTCGAAGCAGAGAACGCAAGCTGCAAGGGCGCCGGGGGGAAGGAGGTAAGACAGAAGGGTAAAGATGAGTGCACGACTCAACGTGAGCTCAACTCCATACCATCAGATGGAAAGTGGGGATGCCTGAACGAAATAGGGGAACGGAAACGCGTGTATGTGATAGGGAGTTTTTGAGAATTGAAGAATTTTCAAAAACTCCCATCAGATGGAAAGTGGGGATACCTGAACGAAACAGAGGAACGGACGCGCGTGCCTTTGACACTGTGCCATGTCATGTCATGGCAAGAGCTGATGTAATGTAAGAGCAACCAATACCACTAATTATGTGCAAACAGATCATTCAATCACGAGAGCATGAGCTTATCGTGTCCCCAATCAAGCCCTCAAAGACCTCGACTCATGTGAACGAGAAGGTTTGAATCTGAAACATCTGCGCTTGGATGGATGGACTGCCAGGATTGGACGGATGGCCAGGTTTGGACGGACGGCCAGGATTGGACAGACAGCCAGCATTGGACGGATGGCCAGGCTTGGACGGATGGCCAGGGAAGAAGGGTCGCCTGAATCGGTAGGGCATGCACCGCATATAAGTCATGACTCTTAGGAACCGCATGTAACAACAGATAGGGCAGGCATTGCATGAACAGGTAGGCATGGCACTGGCGTTGCTTTGGCCTCAGACAATGGGAATGGGGATAGACTGAGGATTAGCTGGGGCACATGAGGACTTGGCAAAGATGGACAGGTGTCACAATCAGAATCAGAACTAGATTGAGGATTCGCTGGGGCGCATGAGGATTGATGGAAAAGATAAGCCCATCTCCTATGTTCCGCATTGCCTTTCCTCCCAAAGACTTTCATCTTGTACCTTGTCTGTCATAGCCTTATCCCTCTCCCCACCACTGTCCACTCCACTCCTCTCCACCGTTGTTCCCCTCTCTCGTCCTCTCTCCACTCCTCTCCCTCTCTCCACCCCTCTCTCCCATCCACCCCTTCCCCACCATCACGCTCTATCATCCCATCCCTCAGCGAGACCGTCCCCAACACTCTCACCTCAACACGTGTTAATGTCGCCTCTCACCTCCGCTCACCTCTGCTCACCTCAGCTCACCTCAGCTCACCTCAGCTCACCTCAGCTCACCTCAGCCCACCTCAGCTCACCTCAGCTCACCTCTGCTCACCTCAGCTCACCTCTGCTCACCTCAGCTCACCTCAGCTCACCTTTCCTCACCTCAGCTCACCTCTACTCACCTCAGCTGACTGCATGCTTCTCAGCTTCCACGCACGCACGCCTCTTTCTCCCACACGCCTCTCCACATCGCTCTGCACCCCTCTCCCTTCTTCGTCGCGCCGTGCCACCCATATCCATCAAAAGGAATCCTTCTCGCTTCCCGCCTTCCCCTACCCCCCCCCCCCCCCCCCCCCCCTCCCTACCTCCTCCTCCGTCCCACTGGACTGGCAGTCC